AGAGTATCTGAAATTTAAAGATCAGTGACTACTTGCATCTATAAACTGCAGCAACTCCTTTGAGCTTCTGCCATCCACTGGAATTCTCCCATTTAATTAATTATTTGGGACTAATAGAAGAAGGCTGCTTGGCTGCAAGAGTCCCCTTCTGCGCATGCAGATGGTAGTGAGCTCCTGCCCATGAGTGCAACATGCCATTTGCCTTGTAAGGAAGAAGTTTATTCACAAATGTGAAAAAAATAAAAAATAAAAAAAAATTAAAAAATGTGGCAGCTTCATAAAAGCTTCTACAAGGCATAGCTTCTCGTGTTAGCGACTTCCCGTGGCTGGTCATGAGACAGCAAACATTCCCAAAGGCTTTCGCTCAAATAACAGCAAAGCCTTAACTGAACCAAGGCCATGCTTATAATGACTTTCACAGTCAAAAACACACTTCCTACAATGAACAGGATTATCAGGGCCAGTTACTAACTATATCGTTAGATCTTCATAGTCTCAGTACTCATAACAAAGGGAGCAAGGGATCACACCACCAAATGTACACTGGAGCATCTCATGTTACACACTCACCATCCTGCTTAAGCAACCCATTGAAGGGTCCCTGTCACTGTGGCCTGGAGGTACTCCGTGCTGCCTGCTAGAGAAAATGCATGGTGACTACTCAACACCCTAGCCCGTGCTGCAGCGAAACATGCCAGGAACTTTCCATGTTCAAGTACAGTTTCACAGAGCATTTGGGATCCACGGTATCTCTATATTTAAGCACCCTGAAGCAACTGTTTTGCCTTTTATTGGGTCTTTCATTGGTTATGCATAAACATTTTCCTCAATACTCACTGAGGAATCCAGATTTACTATAGGAAATACCTAAATAGGTAAAAATAGTAAAAATAGTTGAGCAGTCATACACTGAGCAGTCGACAGACGCAAACTTCAGTGTCACTGTCTGGAAAAGTTGTACCTCAGGCTGGCAAAAACAGCTTGCTTGTTTTCTGAAGTAATTAGCAGCTATTTCACACCTCCACCCACATGAATGCACTAATCTTCCACACTTCAGTCAAACAGCAGCTCAGTTAACTGCAGTCCTTTTTCTGTGGGTTTGTGTTGCTGTTATCCACAGAAAGACAGTTCAAAGCTGGAAGATCAGGTGGGAGTAGTAATTGGGGACCAGCAGGAGCCCCAGTAAAGCTGCTCTGCCCAGTCCTCTGCAGAAAAGCAACCTGGTAGGTAGGCCATCCTAATGACATTAATTACTACACCTTCTCAAAAGAGCTCTGGTAAATTTATGCCTCCCCATTTTAGGATTAGTTACAAATTTTTCTAATTTAAACATGAACCCTTTCTGACTAGGTGCCTTGATGTTAAGAGAGCTACTTCTTTCTTTAGAAAAGGCACTTTGGTGACAGAAACACCCATTTCTCCTATTATTTTTTTTCTGTGAATTTAGATATTATGACATCAGACATGTTTTACATTTACACTCTATAGTACCCACCACGAGAAGATTTTTTTTCTTCTTTACAAATCACCTTATAACTGTCAATGAATGAAGCTTTACAATCAGATTTGCTACCTCCATGAAGCATCTTTTACACCGGCCTTTGTAAATATTAAAAAGGTACTGTAAATATGTATAAAAAAGTTGCTGCAATCTTTAAGGGTTACATCATATTCTCTCTCCCATTCTTTTGTAAAGGCAGAAACTTCAAGTGCAACATAACTGGGTAGTGAGACTGCAAGGACAAGGTGAGCTGAGGTTATTCAACCTGGAAGGCCAAGAGAGCCTGGCTAATTAACAGCAACTGAAAACTCTGCTGCTCTGTTTAAAACAGCACAAGAAGTAGCAAATTTAAGGGAGATGTTGGCAATATTTATTTAGCTATGATGAATATGTTTACACATTGTCACAGGCATATCCTTCCTCCGAAACTGCCACAGACATATTTCTTCTTAGAAATGAATTGTTACCAGCTGCAAATTGCAGTAGTTTGAGTCATTGGCCAACAGATCCAAATTTTCTTTCCTGAACATATGGCAATTGGATATTTAAAAGAAACTGTCTGGAATAGTTCCTTTGAGTTCAGCATTCTCATTAAAATGTAATTTACAACGAACAGTTTAACATCCTCAAAGCAAATGCTTTTCCACCTAGAAGTAGTAAGAAGTAGCAGAAGCATACTTTTTCTCAGATATTCCACTGAGGTAAGCACTGAGTGCTGCAGTTGCAAGTGAAACTTAACCAATCCAAGCCTCATTTTAAGGACTTGGACAGATGAAGCATTTTTTGAAGGTTGGGATGAGCTCACCTCATACTTTTAAATAGTGAAGAACTATCTTAGCTGAGACCCATGGTCCTATGTCTCTCTCATCTTCCAAGAAAACATTGCTCAAAGCATCCCATTTGCTACAATTTCTGTGGATTTTCTTCCAAATATTTTTGTTCTATAGGCATAATAATAATAGCACTTCAAAGAAATTGTGACATCTGTTACATGTCTTGGCAGGAAACACAGACTAAAATCATTCCCTTTATAGAAGAAGCAAAACCAAGTGTTAGCTATTTATGCACTACATAGGACTCCAATTTCAAAATCAGACTGGGCAATGGACTAAACCCAGACTCAACTCAAGTTTGCAAGAACTTTCAAAAGAAAAGGCTTATCCCCCACATTTTTTTTCAAGCATTACTGGTGCAGTTTTACATCATCAGAAATAAGGATGGAATTTTAGATTTCTTCATGAAGATCACTATTGATAAAAACTTTTGAGGACTTCTAAAGTATATGTAGACGTGTCCTTGTAATACTGACTGTAAAGAAACAAGCTGCGCATTTGTCTTTTTCCATTTCTTATGATATATTAAGAACACATGTGATCCTGCTTTTATTTATGGAAAGGGGCAAGAGAGCAACTTACTACTGATTTTTACACTGTAACTGTTGTGAATGCAACCAGTCAGAAGAACAGGACTTCTAATTAATCTATTAAGCACTTTCTGATTAACTCCAGCACTCCTATTTAATTCCAGTAATGAATCGCTTCTCAGAGCTCTGGAGACCTTTTTTGAGAAAAAAAAGGCGTAAGAAACATCAGATAACAGGTAAGAAAAACACATAAAGAAATTAGATCCCCCCCACCAAATTTGCAGATATCAATAAGCAAGTTCATTAATGACTTCCAGGACCACATAAGGCCTTAATAAAAAATGTTCACCTTTCAAATACCCACCTAGCCATGAAAAATGTTGCTCTCTTTCCAGATGATGATCCTAATTTTCAGTGGATGTTTTGGACAGCACAGTGACAAACATGAGATATTATGAAATGTCACAAGATGAACAGAGCTCAGACTTTTTTATGGATTGATCAGCACAGTAGGTAAGTTCCTTATTTGGGAAAAAGCAAAATTTTCCATATGCATGACCACAGAACAGAAATCTGGGAATCGCAGAATCGCAGAATGGTTGAGGTTGAAAGGGACCTCGAGATCATCTAGTCTAACCCCTGCTCCAGCAGGGACACCCAGAGCACGGGGCACAGGGTGGCATCTAGGCAGGTTGAAGATCTCTAAAGAGGGTGACTCCACCACTTCTTTCACCTCAATTCAGTGTCCTGAAACTAAAGCCGGGGAATGCAACTATAAGCTGTTTGGAGGACAGGGAGGGCTACAGAGATGTTGCATGGGCATAACTTAACCCAAAGAGTGGACACTGACCTTGGGATGTGTTATGGGTGCTACGCTTTTGAATGATATGGACCTTCCTCCAGAGGAAATACATCCTTCTCCCTGACCTTGAATATTTCAATTTGTAGGCAGAAAAAGTTATGACCACCCTTCTGCCTTTGGAAACTTGACTGATTCACTTGAAAAGGCAAAGAGTCTGACAGTCTTTGCCCATGTTTCATTTCCCCTCCTGTGCTTTGGGCTCTTACCTGGTGCAGTTTTGTAAGACACCGTTCTGCTGGGCAGGGGTGGTGCGCTCTTCACAAGAGGGCTGGGTGCTGCCTGTAGACCTTGCCTCTGCCTCTTCAGCTCCTCTTCTCTTTCCTGGGCTGCTCTGATTTCCTCTTCTATCATCGACAATGTCCGCTGCTTCCTTGACCGTAATTTAAAAGGACCCATGGTCACTTCAGACTCTTGTGTGGCAAGGATGGAGGCGGTGCTCCTCAGCTCAGCTGCCTCTGAATACTTGCTGAAATAGCTGACTTCTTGCCTGTTTTCCTCCACAAGGAATGGCTGACTGGCTGAAGGTATGGGTGATGGTTGCAAAGTCTTCCGTTCCCTGAGTCCTGAGTCTTCCTCTTCTAAAGTCTTTGGTATTGTATCCCTTTTTTCTTGAACAGGAGAAGACACCTGGGGTGGCTCAAACATGGGGTTTTGCTGCTCCTCAGTATGTGGCACAGGCCCAGTGGCTGACTGCTCTTTGACTGAGATCTCCTGCTCTGCCATGATTTTGTCTTGCTTACAGCTTGTTTTGTCTGCCTGCTCAGCTATGGCTTGTTGTATCGCATTTTGAACTAGCAGGCCGGCGTGATACTCCAGCTGGTCATCGATCAGCATGGAGTCTGTCAAGGTGGAAGAAGGTGAGTCAAAGCCTGGGTCACTGAATGACTTGGAAACACCTTCCCCTCTGCACTCTGCAGGTGTGTCGGTCTGGGGGGTCTGTGGCAAGGAGAAATCTGCCAGTGAGCTTTCCTGGAGGGCACTCATGGTCTCATTGGAGGCGCCACTGTCGCTGATGTTGTCCATGCTGAAGTCATTGGAAAGGGTCTCCAAGACGGTAGTATCCTGAGACCTTACAGACAAGTCATCCAAGCCAGAGTCTAACTCATCTGGAGGCGAAGAGGCGCTGGTTGACTTTGAGAACTGGTCTAGCACACCCTGTCCATCTTCCTTCACCACAGTGAAGATTGCTCGTGCACTCATGAATTCACCATCCTCTGGCCACAGTTTTGGTGTCTGTCCACCTCTGGAGCTGTCACTACTTGGTAGCTCTTTTGCTGCATCAGCAGTGTTACTCTGAGCATTCATACCATCCTCTGAGGTACAGGAGACCTTCTGTGCTTTGACAACAGTGACATCACTATTCTCCACCTGTCCTGTTTGTCCACAGACAGAAGCAGGTCTTGCAATGGAGGACAGTGGCCTGTCGACATGCGAAGAACTCAGACTCTTGTAGAACGGTTTGATGGAGAACATTTTGGGTGTCCCTGACCGCCTTGGTGGGACCTGACCCTGAGATGGACCTGAATGCTCCATTAGCTGGAACTGCTTCCTAGCAGCTGAGAAATCAATTTGCTCTGTGACAATATCCTCTTTTTTGATATTGACCGGCTCTGGTGGTACAAAGGAGTAGCTGACCTGCTTGGGGGATGTTGGCATTGTGCCTTGCTGCTGCTGCCTCTCCTTGCGCTCCTTGTACTTCTTATGGGACTCCAGATGCTCTTCATCCAGTTGCTCTTCCAAGGTCTTCTCCTGGGGTGGGTTCCACCATTTGGCGGCAATGCTAGGGTTTTTCTTGACAGCCTGGCTTTTAATAAGTTCCCTTCTTTCCTTTTCAAGTTCCATCATTTCCTCTGATGGTCTCACTTTCCGGACCCTGTACTTTTCCTTCTCATCATCCTCTTCAAAGAGTTTAGATGGCTTTTTTTCTTCATGGAAGGCTCTTAGTTCAAACTTAGCCTCTTTCTTCAGGGTCGTAAAAGTTGTTTCTCCATCCTTAGAAGATCTTCTAGAACTATTTGAAGAGGTGGGACTCTCTGGCACCTTCAGACTCTCCTTAGCGTCTTCTTTCAATCCCCCTGAAGAATGGCCATTAGATTTCTGGTTCTCATCATTTTTACTAGCTTCACTTTGTTCAACCACCAAGAGTGTCTGCTTGTTAGCGACATTTTCATCCATTTCACTCGGTACTGAATCGCTGGTAACATTAACAGATGTTCCTGAGCCATCTACAACAGAGACCATGCTTGGTTCAGGGGAGGATGTCCCATTAAATGTATTATCTGCAGCAGAATCACAGCAATTTGCCTCCAGCACTTCATCTAGGTATCTGATCTCTTTAGCAACTTCACTGTCCAGAGATTCATGTCTGTCCTTAAGTCCATTGTGGCTGGGAGGAGGGGAAAAGAAGTGGGTTTGATTGTCTACGGAATGTGGTGAAGCCACTGTGGTGATGCTTTTGTGTTCAGAAACTGGAACTTCAATTTCCATTTTCTCCTCCTTTGTAGCAAGTACACTAGCTGTCTCCAGGAAATTGGCACGGTTTTGGTCTCTGTTTTTTCTCAACCTGATGTCATCCTCAGGGATTCTGGAAGATTTCTAAAATGAAAGAGAATAAAATGATGATGAAGTCCTAAGAAGCAAAATTTTATTTTATGCAGAGTAAACACCATCTGGAAAATAAATCCTAGAATTTCTTGGACTTGAAATGAAAGCAAACCTACACAGTGTGGGGAAGCAAGGCAAATCATTAATACTTCCTTACAAAAAAATAGAAAGTTAGTTTACCTAGCCTGCAAAATACACTAAAACATCAACAGTCTTTCAATTAAGTATCTCCCATCTGGTTATCATCTGTCCTCTGTCATTTATGCTTGAATTCTGGTTTGCCACTAAAAAAATAGCTTGTATTTCCAGTTATTAATGACTAAATAGTTTAGATTCTTCAAAGATTTACACATGCAGCACACCACATCTAGCATCCTGGTATTATAAAAATGCTTTCCATACCCAAGGAAACCTCATAATGCTTCCTCAGATGAAAAATATTACTGCGTACATTTTACAGATACAGAAGCAAGAAGAGTAGACGATTCATCCCACGTCAGATAAAAAGACATGGCAGTGGCAAGGGATGTTCATTTCTCGGCAGACCAGACTTGGCCATTTAACAGGGGTGGAATTACACCGCGTCTTTCTGCAGCCCACACGAAACCCACGCACGAAGGGGCCTGGGAGACAGGATGTGAACACAACTCTCATGTCATGGACCAAGCCACAGCACGCACAGTGGGAACCAGTGTCATGGACTCCTCCCTCCTACAGCTTTGATCTCTACTGCAGATGCATTGGGTTGGTATTCCTCCATGATGGGGAGGTATTGTAACAAATACCACTTTCTGATTTTACCTGTCAAGCAGCCTACTGAATTTTCTGGGATTCAAGTTTGAAGAAATTTTTGATTAAGCTGATAACAAATCAGTGAATTTCTCTGTAATTCTTAATTACTTGGAAGGCAGATAAAGGAGATATCAAAAGAAATGAAAAGCTCATTTTCTACATTACTTTTAAAAGAGAACTTGGTAGCTCCTCGCCAGAACACAGTACAACATGCAAACAACTGGAAGCGGCAAGTCTCTTCATTTTGTCTCACATTTTAAAACAGCAGCTTGATACATTTTTCCCCTGACTCCTTTCCCTGACTCTTTTTTTTCCACATGCGTTTTCATGCATTATGAGTGTTGAGGCACACGTTTGGGAAGGAAACAACACTGAGCAGAACACAGTGGAATCCAACAGCAATGTCCACCACTGCCTGACGGCCACACTCCCTTGCTATCACTTAACATGTGTGTTACTAATAAGCTCTACAGCAGAGAATGATCAACTATGAGCAATGATCAACAGTGTTTACCAGTGACCTGAGTAATCATGCTGCCTCTGTGTTTACACGAGCAATAAAATGCATTTGACAGAGAATTACAGCCAGGCAGAACAGCTCTGCTTCTAAACACACTTTGAATGAGCTTTCTGTCAAATTATGCAGTTATACATCCTTGAAGATAATGCTGGCTTCACCCATTAGACATTTTCCTCTAAATTGTGCTCACAGGGCAGGAAAATTCATTATAGACAAAAAAAAAACTAACCTGCTTTGTCTATTTATGGGAGTTTACCTCGTATCTACTTTCATTTCACTTTCTGTTGATTCTAGCAGTTCTCTAACCTGAATTTCTAGCAGTGCTTTTCTTAAAGGTTATTATGTTTTTACTATTTAAGCGCCTAAATATGGTCAAATTTTTCCGTAGTTCCACTAAGTCAGTATTAGCAAAATCATATGTTCTGCAAACAAATACGGAAGAGTTTGTATAAGAAGTCCTAACTCTTCTGAGTGGGCCAAGTAGGTATAAAAAAACCCCATTCTTTTAATGTGAAAGAGAAATAATTGCTCTGCAGAATGCCTGCTGACATGGTGCTCCATGGAGCTGGTGCTCATGTAACAGGATTAACAAAGTCTGATACTAAGGTTTAAACCTGCTCTGGTTACTTTACTAGTGCAGAACCAGAGATGCTGTTACTTGCAGCAGTCTACATGAAGGGACATAATTACTGCCTCTAAACAGATAGATCAAAACTACTAGAGACGTTTGGAACTACACATCCTTGTCAGACACGTCTCCAGTGGATGCAGAAAATGGTATAATAAAATTATGCATCCCGGACAATACACTCAGTCTCTAAATGACATCTCCTGCAGAGCTGACCCTGCAGCTGACCCAGACCTCAGAAACTCCTGGATGCTGTAGTTCCAGCACAACAGGGCTAGGAAATGCCTGATTGTCCCAGAGACCCCAGTCAATTTCCCTACTGTATTAATATATGAATCATTCCAGATCATGTCACATTGTCTATTCAAGTTACTTTTAGAGAACACAACCAAAGCTTAAGTATTTTGTCAGCCAATTTCTTAATGAGTAAGAGTTCATCCTCTTACCATAGCTGCAATCTGTAGCTCACAATCAAGACAGAGAAATAACTATTTAATCAATCAAGAGTATGCTATTATGACAGCACAAATTCTGAAAGCCCACGTAGCTCTGTAATTAGAGTGACACATGTAGTAGAGCAAATACCTATTTCGACAGCAAAACATATCAGGAAAAATTGGCATTTATGGGAAGACTTTTTTTTTTGCCAAAGGCAAGTGGAGAGCAGGGAGGAAGGCTCTCAGTGGGACAGAGATGGTGGGGAAATGGTAAGGGAGGGAAATACATTATTGAAAAAATGATTTTTCCCTCAGCATATTCTAATAGGATCTGGGGACATGTTCATGACATCACAACAAGGCAATGGTCCACATATTCCTATGAAAAGCAGAAGCCAATCTATTGATTAGTTAGCTGGAGAAGCTAACTTAAAATACCACAGGCATGGGAGCATCTGACAAAATAAGTTGTTTTTTTTTTTTTCCTTTTTTTTTTTAGGCAGCCCAGGCTATAGAGCCTGTTTAGGATGGTCTAGAAGGGTGGAAAAATGTGACTATTGGGATGACGCTACTGCGGGTGAGAGGAGGCTTGGAGGAGGAAGGCAGCAGCAGGAGGCACATGGACCCCCTGCCTTGGCTGTTTTGCAGAAGGAGGCCAGCTTGCCATGGGACTGCTTTTGTTCCATGTGCAGTAAATATGTACCAACAACTTTGTATTTGCTGCCTATAGGGAGGAGGCTTTTCAGAGCCTGCATCACTACAAAGGCCTGCAAATTGGCAAAAGGTCTGCATTCAGTCTAAATTGTAGTCAGCAATACAGTGTTAACAGTGGCTGGTGTACACTGCTAATCTAGTTCCAGGCTTTCCAGAAATCACATTTAAAGAGTCTCTGAATGTGCATTCATCTCCTCCTGTTTAAGCCAAGAATCAACAGGGTAATTGCTGTCATTTCTATAACGCTGTTACACTTTGGTAAGCTGCAGTTACTAGTAGCTTAGAGCATGATTAGCATATTTCTTTGTTGGTTGAATTCTTCACTTACAAAAGTGCAAGTGTTTGGGAAATCAGTTCTTTCTGGAGGAAGAAAAAATGTGGGTGTACTATGAGCAAGATCCAGCAAATAATACACTGCCAGTGCCGTCCTTTGTTTCATGCAACAGAAAATGCGTATGACAATAAGTGGGAGGCAGGGCTTCTGAGCCACATCCACATTCTTCTGAAGCAACAGCATGATGAAAAAAAAAAGAGATTTAATTAAACCCTTAATTAAAAACATATTGTCGTTTAGGAAAAATAAAACGTATTCTCTTCATTGTGGGTTTCTACCAATTACTCCAACCAAGTTTCAGCACAGATTTTGACACTGTTGATCTCCTGGCACCATTAGCAATATGCACATCTCCTTTCTTCAGATTTCGTTTTCATCTGGAGATGTCCTTGCTTCTCTTTCCACCAGCTAATCGCTGTGTCAGTGCTCTCAGTTCTTGGATCTATCCCTTGGGCCCATTATGTGTCTAGGAGTCCACAAGCATAGTGTAAACAGTCCACAAACATAATGTAAACATTTGTGTGTGGCTGACCTCCTGATCCATACCTCTCTGCTGATGTGAATCATCTCATTACTCCTCACCTACTGTCTTCATATGCCTTTCCAAAGTCCTCTTGCATACAGGAAGGATCCAAATGATATATTTGCTTGGGGGTTGACTTGGCAAAAAATCAAGAAAATGACTGTTTTCATTCAGCATCTCCTTTTGAAGAAGGTAGTCACCATCTGCATCACAGATGGAGATGGTTCCAAGCACTGCCGTATGTCCACCCACTAGGCCACCCTGCCTAGTGAGAAACTTCCTAGCCAAGCTGGGGTTGTCTCCCATGCCCTCAGAGTAGCAAGTGGATCACCATGGAAGTCTTTCCTGTAGAAGAGCAGGGCTACAGGAAAATGCTGCAGTTCTTTATGAAGAAGAAAAGCCAGAGCAAAGTTGTACTAACTTTACCCCAGTGGTGGAGTTTGGGTGCTGGCACTCACAGCTAACTCATACTACAATGCTAAAAAGATGGAGGAAAACCATTTTCTGCGGCTTAGGTAACTTCAGACACCTGCCTGTGCACTCCAGGCTCTCATCCCAGTGATCAGAAAAGTTCCATCAGATCTGAATGGGAATCGTGGTCTGAACCACTGTAGTATTCAACCACATGATCCTCAAAAACTCCCACTGGGTGCAGTCACCCCATTCAGCTCTGGAAACGCAGTGATAGTGTGGTTAGTTAGGGTTAGTTAGGGTTAAGGTTAGGCTATAGTTCGAGTTAGGGACAGGACCATCATGTGCAGACCATAAAGTATGTGCAGAAACTACTTTGGAGAAATGTGCTGAACCCTTGTGCTTTGGAAAGCATTTGCAGGAGTTAAAGAAGGCAGCAGTAAAGGAGACGTCCAATCCTAGAGCTGAAAAAGAAAACAGTTTCTGACAGTGATAGGGGAATCGGGGAGAATAATGGAATTGCTACTGACACTCTAAACAAGAATCATATCTTTTCATTAAAAACAAAACAAAAGAAAAGAAAATGAAGTATTGTTTTCTTGTTACTGTGTGAAAATGTTTTATTTTT